AGCTTGGTCAGCTTTTTGATAAGACTTTATAAATTATTAAAAACCATATTTAGGTTCTCCTGGGGATATGGTGCCGCGAGCAGGTCAATCTCTACCTGTGAGGCGAGTCCATCAGCCGCCTGATGGTGCCTTCAGACTTCCAGATACCCCAAAATTGCTGCTGTGTCTTTAACCAGAGACCGCAACAACTTGGGGCAAAGTTTACCAAGAAAGGAAATGGCCAAAAGTTAGAAAAGTTAGGTATGTGGGAGACACACCCACAAACCACCTCCAGCTCAGCTATATAATTGGAGGCATGACTTCTCTGGTTCCTGATCGAACTGCTTAACAGCCATGATCTCAGAGACTCAAAAACCAATCTCAAAATCCAACGGCTTTTGGCAGAAATGTGTCCAGTCCCTGCAGTAGGTTACAGGTGCTGGGCCACTCCAGGTGGGAATAGGTTTCATGCCTTGGCCTGTGCCCAAGAGAGGTCACTGGACAGTCAGGTTTGGGCCTGCAGTGATGAGACACATGGGGCCTCACGGGATGGGGTGGAGTTAGCCCTTTCCTCCCCACCCCAATGAGACCCCAAGTCATCGCCTACGAATGGCCTTTCTGGCTCCTGATCAAGCTGCTTAAAGGCCATGATCCAAGAGACTCAGGAAAAATTCTCAAAACCCAGCATGTTTTGGCAGAAATCCCTCCAGATTTAAGTGTTAAAATTTCAGAATTTCAAAATCGCACAGCCACTACTGCAGCCACGTGACATCACATGTTATTCTTAATGAGCAATAGAAAACAAATTGTTTACTGTTGCCTTTTCAGCAGATCTGAGTGTTGGGGTAAAATCCCAAATAATAATGGTGGGTCTGGTGTCAAAATATTGAATGTAATCAAAGTAGAGAGAGAGTAATGTGGAAATCATATGCCCCACAGGTAGGAGGAAGGTGTGAGATGGGGATATACTGGGGTTTTTGGTGGTGGAGAATGGGCACTGGTGAAGGTACGAATGTTTCATTGTATGACCGAGACTTAAACCCAAAAGCTTTGTAACTGCTCTCACGGTGATTCAATAAATAAAATTATAAAAATAAAAAAAGATCATATTTAGGTTCTTTACAGGCTCGGGATGAGTCCCTCATGCATAAAAATGAATCACTAAAAACCCAGGGTATGCGGGTTTTGAAATCACCAGGCCTGCTTGGAGTTGGAAATGGGCCCCTCCCCTGTCTCCCACACACTGCCTCTGGGCACCACAAAGCTCATCAATAGCCATGATCCAGAGACTCACAAATAAATCTCAAAAGAGAGCAAAACGCTGCAGAGATTCCTCCATACCCCAAAATCACCACCCAGTTAAAAATTTAACTCCAGCACTAGCACTCTATTTAAATTCTAGAATTCCTTGAGCAACATCTCATACTTTATATCACTAATATACCAAGAGTAGCACACCACATTTGATGGGGTATAAAATAGAAGGCAACTGATCTTGAGATATATATATATATATATATATATATGTTTTAGAGGATAGAAAAATTTTTATTGCCAATATATTATATATATGTATATATACATATATATATATATATATATAAGCACACAAAGCTCAACTTGTAACAGCATGTTAGTGATACAGGGGTTTAATGGCTCCAAAGTGAAATACAACAATTTCATACACTTTCCTCTAAGGAAATTTTTTTGGATTTTTTTTTTGAGATTTTTTTTTTAATTTTTATTAGTGAGACACCATGAGGTACAGTTGTAGACTTACAAATTTTTGTGCTTGGGTTTCAATTATACAATGATCAAATACCCATCCCTCCACCAGTGCCCATTTCCCACAACCACAGATCCCAGTATCCCTCCCACCCCCCATCCCCCCCATCCCATCCTGCCTCTGTGGCAGGGCATTCCCTTTTGTTCTCTCTCTCCTATTGGGTGCTGTGATTTGCAAAAGAAGCAATGGGTGACAATCATGTTTGGTCTATAGTCTACTTTCAGCATGCTTCTCCCATCCTGGGAGGATCCTCCCAACACCCTATATTTAGTGCTCCCTTCTCTATCTGAGCTCCCTTTTCCCCTAGCATGTGTGGCTTGCCTCCAAGCCATGGAGTGAAATTCCTTGTACTAATCTCGGCCATTCTTGGGTGTTAGTCTCCCATTTTGTTACTTTATGTTCCCCAGATGAATGCAATCTTTCTATGTCTATCCCTTTCTTTCTGAGTCATTTTGCTTAACATGATACTTTCCATGTAGTACTACTTGTATGTAAATTTCATGACTTCCTCTTTTCTAACAGCTACATAGTACTCCATTGTGTAGATGTACCAAAGTTTCTTTAACCAGTCATCTGTTCTTGGGCACTCAGGTTTTTTCCAGTTTCTGGCTATTGTAAAGAGTGCTGAAATGAACAAACAAGTGCAGATGTCACTTCGACTATACTTTTTTGCCTCTCTGGGATATATTCCCAGGAGTGGTATTGCTGGGTCAAATGGGAGCTCAATTTCTAATTTTTTGAGAATTGTCCATACTGTTTTCCAAAAGGGCTGAACCAGTCGGCATTCCCACCATTTTGGATCATTTTTAGAGGATTATTCATAACAAGCAATACAAAATAAATTATTTAGCATCTGCCTTGGCAGGCTTGTGTGGTAGCGGGGAAATTCTAAAGTAAATAAATAATGGTGGCGGGAGGGTGTAATAGTGGTGAAATTGGTATTGGAACATTGAATGTAATAAATTATTGTGAACAACTTTGTAGAACTAAAATTTTTTAAGAAATCATATTTAGATTTCTTTATTGATAAATCTTATTTTAGGCCCATTTGTGTGAATTACCATCTTGTTTCTTTAAAACAATCAGTGGTTTATAGTAGCAAGGAAAAATTAGCAAATAACCTGGAATTATTCTCTTGCAATATCAGAGTAATTGCAAAGGAGAATCTGGGGATCTTTTCATTAAAATCCCAACATATGTGCACTTTCTAGTCCAACTGCTAAAACTTTTCATGCTAATATTTTAGCCTGAAATTTTAATCTCCATTTTCTTTTTGTCATTTAGTTAATTTTCCTGGCTTTGACCTATTAAGTATTCTTCGAGATGATACATATGCTTTTCTTGGAACCATGAGTTTAACGGCCGAATTCTTTTGTTATATTTACGCAAGTAAGTAAGTAAAGTAAAGTAAAGGCCCTCCCCTTGATCGTCGATTTGCTCGAGCGGGCCCAGTAACGTCTCCATTGGAGACTTTGTTGTTACTGTGTCTGGTATATCGAATACTCTCGGTAGCTTGCCGGGCTCTCCGAGAGGGGCGGAGGAATCGAACTCGGGTCGGCCATGTTGGCCGCTTGTAAGGCGAATGCCCTACCCGCTGTGCTATCGCTCCAGCCCTTTTTTTTTTTTGGTTACGTAAGTACCTGGCACAAAATGCACAACCTAGAGCAATAGCTTTATGTAAGTTCTCATAAGTACTATTGTTAATATAAATGTCTATCCAGGGACCAAATAGGTAGTAGAGAGGCAGGGAGCTTGCCTAGCACACAGATGATCTGGGTTCAATCCCCAGCACCCAAGAGCCCCATAAGAAATGATCCCTAGGCAAAAAGCCAGGAGTGAAAACTGACACCACTGGATGTGACCAAAAAGTAGTAAGTAAACAAATGTCTACTCATTTATAATTTGTGCAATAATGTATATACATAGTAGTTATCATTGCTTCTCTGTGGCAATAAATTATTCAAATGCTTTTTATTCTTTAACAAGGCAATCTAGTAAAATTTAAAAATCACTGTGATATATATATATCAGTAATTTTTTTGGTAGAAGACAGAGGTATACTCCAAGTATACAGAAAAATATGAACCTCAAGTAGGTCACACAGTTCTAGGAAAGGATACTTGTCTTGGAGGAGTGAGAAGAGAGGGAGGTTTTGGCCATGCTCGGGGCTATTTCTGGTTCTGTGCTCGACTGTACCCAGCGGGGCTGGGAGGAACATAGGTAGTGCCAGGGAACAATGAAAGCTGCTAACTGCCCGCAAAGCAGCTGCCTCAGCTCCGGAACTAGCTCTCCTACCTAAGCTATTGTTTTAGACACTGGTTAGTGATAATTGAAAGTTGTGTGGAGAGGTCTGAGAAGAAAGGAAACAGCAACATAGGAAGTTTGGAGAGAAAGTTCCAGACAAGCATACTTGTTGGTGTAGAAAAAGAAAACTAGCAACATTTGTCTGATGGGATTCGGAAGGTACAAACATCAGACAGGATGTGTCCCTTGTCTGTGTTCACTTGATGTGGCCAGTCTGTGTTCAGTCCCCAGTGTCCCAGAGGGTTCCCCAAGCACTGCCAGAGGCAAGCCATGAACACTACCAGGAGTGACCCAAACACCAAATTAATAATAAACTTTGTCTGATGTGAGTTTGAATAAATATTTTTCTCTTAACTGGTCACAGTTGGTTTTTTCTCCTTTTTTATCTGCAGAAGGGCAACACTATGCTCTATCTGTATCCCCCACCTAGAGTTTATCCATTTCTAAGAAAAGAGAGACCCGAGGATGAAAGAAAATGGCCTGGGTTTCTTCTTTCAGAACCCAGAGCTTCTCTCATCTTTATTTAGGGTAATCAAGGTGCCTAGGACAGGGACTGAGAAAGAAAAAAAAAGAGGTGAAGGTCAAGGAAACAAATTTTAGTTGAGCCTGCCCATGCCTTTCAGGGAGAGCCAGCCCTGCCACAGAGGCTGGACTGTGCAGAGCCAGGCACACAAAAAATACTTCCCGTGACATAATTCCAGAGAGACGAAGTTTTTCACGGCAAAGCAGAGTGCAGCAGCGGCGGGAGAGAAGCCGGACGCGGCCCCCGCAGCCTTGGGATTGGTGGGGGTGCCAGCAGGCCCTCGCGCAGAGGCAGCGGCGGCTGGAGGGTGCTCCCGAGCACCCAGGAGCACTGGGGCCTTTTCCTTCTGTCTAAAGTACGCAGCTACGAGCAACCTCTTTAGGAAAACAAAAGCATCTCGGATCATCGCTACATGTACACGCGGGAGCCCGTCAGGAACTTGTTGGCGGGCCACATGTGCGTCTTGCCGTCGTTGGCGAGGCTGCGCTGGCAGCGCTGGCAACGCTGGAACCTCTCGCACTGGTCCAGGAGGAAGAGCCTGTCGGTCGCGCTGCGGACAGAAAGGCGGGGCGCACGGCGTGAGCGGCAGAGCGGACGGGCGTGGGCGGCAGGAGGAGACGGGCGTGGGCGGCAGGGGGAGACGGGTGTGAGCGGGTGTCCACGCGCGCCCCGAGCCAGCCAGCCCGCCTCCGCGTCCCCGGGGAGCGGGCACAGCTCGGCCCCTCCCGCCACGCCGCCTGCTGCCATCTGACCCCGCAACTGAGCGTCTTCACGCAGCCCACCCCACCTTTCCCCAGCCACACCGCCCGTGCCACGGTCAACAAGCGGGACACAGTGGTTCTGCCGCCCTCTCAGTCCCACCCCGGGCAGCGGCTCCGCGGACAGCGCCCAGCGGGCTTCATTCAGGGAGGGGGAAGCAGAGAGTGAGCGTGGGAAGGCAGGGAGAGCGGGGGGGGGGGGGGGGGGGGCAGAGAGAGTGGAGGCAACCAGGAGCGCACAAGTTGGGAGATTCAAAGCTCAGATGAAATAGAGGATTTTTCACTAGGACAGTTTTTCCTAATTGGACCCTGTGACCAGGCATTTTCCCTGCCCCGCTGAAATGTCCACATGGGTGAATTCTCTACCTGGGGTATCAAGGGAATCCTCCAAAGGAAAAAGCCCAAGCGCCTCTGAGAGGGGCCAGGGTGGTCCAGGGATATAACAGAGCCTGTAGGGCATTCATTCGCCTTGCACCCAGCCAAGTCAGGTTCAATCCCTGAGTCTTTCCTGAATTCAGAGCCAGAAGGAACCCCTGAGCATTGCTGGATGTGGTCCCAAAACAAAATAGTTCAATTCATCAAAAAGGTGAAATATGCCTTTAAAAATAACTAAAAGTGGGCTGGAGCGATAGCACAGCGGGTAGGGCGTTTGCCTTGCACACGGTCAACCCGGGTTCGATTCCTAGCATCCCATATGGTCCCCCGAGCACTGCCAGGAGTAATTCCTGAGTGCAAAGCCAGGAGTAGCCCCTGTGCATCACTGGGTGTGACCCAAAAAAGAAAAAAATATTAAAAGTAATACAAGAGTTACAGTTCAATACCTTCTAGGTAGTCACCTACTAATCAACTACAGTTACCACCTAAAACCTATCTGCCACCCAGAATTAGAGAAAATAATTCACAGTGCCGAGTGGAATTTCTTTGCAAACAAAGAATTGGTTCCATCATGGGTTACCTGTCAAAAGCCTTTGCTTCTTCCTCACGCTGCCTCTTCTCCTGGACACACTTTCCCCAGTGGTCTAGCAAGTCTTCATTGATGCTTTTCACTCTGTCAGCTTCAACACTTCTTTCTTCCAAGAGCCTAGAAAGAAGAGGAGAGTGTGAGTCTTTCCTGGGAAGGGATTAGGAGCCCCATTCCTTTTAAACAGAAAATCATGAGGTTTTAACAGCAGCAAACCCTGAGTAAACATAGTGAAATTACTAACTCTCAATTTGTGAGTCTAAATTTTTCATCTTCAATCTAAATTAAATTAGGTTGGGGGACTTTTTCCAACTAACAAATTTAACTTCCATTTCCTTCAGTTAACCTAGCAAAAACATAATCCCAGATGTCTTATCTAGTACATTAATATTTTCCCTCTTATTGCAGCCTGTAAAATAGTCTAGCAGATGCTGGGGGCATTTTGCAGGACAAAGTAGACTGGAAGAAAAATGAAAAGAAATGGGGCTGAAGTGATAGCACAGCGGGTAGGGCATTTGCCTTGCACATGGCTGACCCAGGTTCGATTCCCAGCATCCCATATGGTACCCCGAGCACCACCAGGAGTAATTCCTGAGTGCATGTCACTGGGTGTGACCCAAAAAGCAAAAAAAAAATGACTAGGCAAAAAAAAAATATATATATATATATATATATACAGTAGCAACATTATAAAGAAGGTAAAAATATATGTGAATATTGCTAGGGGAAAAGGCAGCTCAGACAGAGAAGGGAGCACCAAATAAAGGGTGTTGGGAGGTTCCTCTCAGGATGGGAAATGCGTGATGAGAGTAGACTATAGTCCGAACAAGATTGCCACTCAATATCTCTTTTGCAAACCACAGCACTCAAAAGGAGAAAGATAACAAAAGGGAATGCCCTGCCACAGTGGTAGGGTGGGATGGGGGATGGAGGAAGGGGGGTGTGAGGGATACTGGGACTGGTGGTGGTGGAGAATGGGCACTGGTGGAGGGATGGGTGTTTGATCATTGTATAACTGAAACCCAAGCACAAAAATTTGTAAGTCTAAAACTGTACCTCATGGTGTTTCACTAATAAAAATTTAAGGAAAAAATATATGTGAATATACATACATATATATGAGTATACACATATACAATATTTGGTATCAAAGCAACTGTAGTTACCTAGCTTTCTTGATGTTAAATATTTCTATTACTAGCCTCCAAACATGGAGCAGTGGCTGCTGATTATCACCTAAGTCACCTTAATCACCACTTCAGGGGTCACAGCAGGGAGGGCATTTGCCTTGCAGGAGACCAACCAGGGTTCAAACCCTGGCATCCCATATGGCCCCGCAAGCACCGCCAGGAGTAACTCCTGAGTGGAGAGCCAGGAGTAACCCAGGTGTGAACCAGGTGTGAACCAAAAAGCCAATAAACAACTAAATAACTAAAAATCACTACTCCAAACATGGAGCAGTGGTTGCTGTTGATCACATTATGTGTATGTGTTTCTAGCCATACTGAAATGCTTACCAACTTTTCACACATGCGACCTCACAGAAGGTCAATCAATGATTCAAGTCAGCTCCACAGGGTTTTGTGTTAGAGCTAATGGCTGCCACTAGGTGTCAGAACCCGCCCATAAAATATGCCTTGTGCAAATATGCCTTTTCCTAATATAGCATAGCTACAGATTCATCTCAGGAGCATTGATCCAACAGCTGTTTGTGCTATCATCCTAAAGATGAGATGAGATCAGATGAAGAAAATGCCATTATGCATCACACAACGAAAACTTGTTTTTTTTTAATTAAAGCTCAGTTCTTACAAGAGCTGAATGACTGAATGACACTTGCCATTTCTTTTTATTCATAACCATTCATAACCATAATGTGCCGAGGGCTGGAGCGATAGCACAGCGGTAGGGCGTTTGCCTTGCATGCAGCCAACATAGCCCACCCGAGTTCGATTCCTCCGCCCCTCTCAGAGAGCCCAGCAAGCTACCGAGAGTATCTCGCCTGCACGGCAGAGCCTGGCAAGCTACCTGTGAGGTATTCGATATGCCAAACACAGTAACAACAAGTCTCATGATAGAGATGTTACTGGGCCCGCTCGAGCAAATCGATGAACAATGGGAGGACCGTGACCGTGACCATCAATATGCCGAGTGCTTTTTTGTTTGGGGGCCACATCCATCAGTGCACAGGGCTTACTCCTGGCTCTGTGCGCAGGGATCCCTCCTGGAGAGGCTAAAGAGACCATATGGGGTGCTGGGGATCAAACCCAGGTCAGCTACGTGCAAGGCAAGCATCCTACCCACAGTATTATAGCTTTGGCCCTGGTTTTCTCCTTTGTCTATGCTAGGGATCAAACTCAGGACTCATGCATGCATAACAGAACCGATTTTACCACTGAGTCACATCTACAGTCTCCTGAGGAGTCTTCAGCCTACTATTCTACTCATTTTCCGAACTTTCTTGATACCATCACATTAACCATTTGTAAAAGTCATGAAATTGTGATGAAAACGTTTCTTCTTTCTTGAGTACTTCTAGAAAGATGCCTTTTCAGAGAAGGCATTTTTCTCTGAAAAGGCACTTGTTTTGTTTTCATTGTTTAAAGATAATTTTATTTAGGAACACTACAATATTGTCTATATTAAGCAACTTTCTAGTTTTATTTTGATGAGTGGCTAGAGAAAATTTGACTGTTAGGTTAAATTTATATCTACCATGACCAAAAAGAATACATATCTCAATTATATACTTTTTATTGTCATCTTAGATGAAACTAACTATACATGTTAAAAATTTTATCTTCAAGTTTCTAAAAGTACCAATGTACATTGTGGGGTAAAAACTTAGTAGCTTGTTAATGTCACTTGAATATATTGAGGTTATACACCCACAAAAAAAAAATGCCTGTTTTAACTTATGTATTTGTTTAGAGTATGGTCACTTTGCTAAACGAACAATTCTAAGAATGTATACTGACATAAACAACACTTCAACATTGAAGGCTAATAATTTGCCTAGAGTTTAAAAGTTGTGCTAGAAAAAAAAACTGTTTCCCATTTACATCTAGAGAACAAATATCCCTCTCCCATTCGAATCACCAATATTATAATAATACCACTCCATCTATCTTTGAAGGGTCCACTTGAATTATCGACTCTTTATTCACTAGCTCTGCACAGAAGTTCTTGGGTACTCTTGAGCACTTTGATGATTTGGGTTTATCAAGAGTCTGAGCATTGCTAAGCAGCCACAAATTAAAAACCGGGGTTCTCAGTAATGTTGGAGGGCAGCAAAATGGGAAGGGAATAAAGAGACTGAGTTGATATGCCAAGGCCTAAGGGCTGGTTAGAATCTTTAAAAACCCTCCCTTGGAAAGAAGTGTTCACTCTGGGCAAAGACAGGGTTCTGAAAGGAAGTAAAGTGATAGGCATGATACCCTAATCAACAACAGGATTGCAAACCACAGAGACTAAAACAAAAAGGAAAAAAAGGCCTTTCAATTGGGGACATTGGTTAAGGGATCAGTGCTCGAACACTGTATCCCTGTAACTAAATCATGACTAACTTTTTAACTTTATAATTCAGTTATTCAAAAAATTTTTGAAAATAATTTTTACCACAATGCCCACAAACAGGTGACTTGATAAAGAAACTATGGTGTAGGATAACAATGGTTTGTCCTTTATGCCTTGCCATGGGGAGCTTAGGGTTACTCCCATCACAGTGCTCCCATTCCTCTGTATTTATTGTATTTATTTGTAACTTCTTTGTGCTCTATTAATTTGGTTGTTTTTTTGTTTTTGTTTTTGCTTTTTGGGTCACACCTGGCAATGCACAGGGGTCACTACTGGCTCTGTGCTCAGGAATTACTCCTGTCAGTGCTCAAGGGACCATACGGAATGCTGGGAATCAAACCCAGGTTGGCCACATGCAAGGTAAATGCCCTACCCACTGTTCTCTGTTAATTTGTAAATACTGCCTTTCTCTTCTCCTTCTCCTTCTTCTTCTTCTGCCTTTCTCAGAGACTATAAAAACCAGCTCCCAGAACCGCATTTGCCGACATCTTATCATCTTATCATCTCATTCCTACTTTGGACAAACTGGCAGGATACCAAATGTAACCCGCTCACACGGCAGAGTCTGGCAAACTCCCTGCGGTGTACCCAATATGCCAAATACCAGTAACAATGAAGGGTCTCATTCTCCTAACTCTGAAAGAGGCTTGAATATGGCACTTTTTAAAAAAAATCTCAGGGCTAGGACGAAGGAGACGTTACTGGGGCCTGCTTGAGGCAATCGACGAATAACAGGATGGTTGTGATTGGTTGTGATCTTCTCCTTAGGTCCTTTGCATAGTTAATTCAGAGCAATATCCTTTTTGTATAGACAGAAGAAGACAATTAATGCTATACTTTTGTAACTTGGGAGTTAATTGACTCTGAATGATATTCACCCCCGGTCATCTGTTCTCTGGACATAAGCCTCGGTTGTCCTGACTTCCTAGCACCCCAAAAGTAGGGTCACAATGAGAGACTGGATTGACCCAGGGCAAGCAGTGAGCTACCCTGGGTGAGCTACATAATACTTAACTGTAAGTTAAGAGCATGGTCATGGACAAATTCTGTCATGATCCAAAAAGTAACATCTAGAATGAGGACTCTGCTAGGATTAGGAAAGATTAATCTGGCCTGAGCACTGTAGTCTGAGAACTATAGCAAGATGTCCTCAAGAGAGCCACCCTACAAGCTCAATGTATCTCTTACTGCGTCCATACAAAATAACTAATATTAAGAAGTAGAATTAAGATGTTAATTAAGTTATTGGACTAAGGAGAAGAGAAACACCCATAGGTGGTATTTCAGCCCTTGAGCCTGATGGGCGATCAGGAAGGTCTTTTGATATGTTGACTCTTCTACCAGATTGGGTGTGGTGTCTACCCCCAATGCTGTGGAGTTGGAGGGAGACGAGAGCAAAAGCGAGACCAGGGCAGCAAGATGGAGTGCAGAGAGACTAGCAAGGGGGACAGAGGGAGAAGTATTAGGGGAAGAATGCAGGAGCTGGTGCGTGGAGAGAGAGAGATGGAGCTTCGAGAGGAAGTGTGGAGAGATGAGCAGGAGACAGGAGGAGACGGGAATGAGGGGCAGTGTGAGACTAGAATGAGGAGCTTAGCGAGATTGGAACAGGCGCGTGGGGGGAATGGAATAAAGGGCAACTGATCACCAACCAGCCATGCGGCCTCGTTTCCTCTTTCGTCCGTCCATGGCATTGGCCAGCCTGGCTGGAGAAAAGGCCGAGAGAGGGCCTCCAGGGCTTTCCCTAGCCGCCCGGAGATTACACACTATGGTATGTATACACAGTGGAATACTATGCGGTCTTAAGGAAAGATAAAGTCGTGCAATTTGCTGCGACGTGGATGGATCTAGAGAGTATCATGTTGAGCGACATCAACCAGAGAGAGAGAGAGGAAGAGACACAAAATGATCTTTCTCATACGTGGGAATGAAGAAATCTCATGGGGGAGCATCAAACGCCCAATGGTAATTGAAACAAAGAGCAGGAAAACTGGTCCTCACTAGGAAGCGTGGCACTGGGGCAGAGGTGAGGGGATGTCAGGGAGGGGAAAATGGAGGAGGGAAGTGCTGACACTAAGGTCGGCTGGGAAGTAGGAGGGAAACTGGGACATTGGTGAGGTAGTGGGCGCTGGTGAAGGGATTGGTGCTGGAACAATATACACCTGAAACGCAATCATAAATATCTTTGAAATTTTGTAATTCATGGTGATTTAATAAAGGGGGAAAATGGACTGGATAGATAGAACAGTGGGTAGGGACCATGCCTGGCCTGTGACCAGCCTGGGTTTGATCCCCGGCTTCCCATATGGACCCCAGCATCACCAGAAGCAATTCCTGAATCCAGAGCCAGGAGTAACTCCTGAGCATTGCCAGGTGTGACCCAAAACCAAATCAAATAAAATAAAAGAGGAAAAAAATGTTAGCCCTTCTTTGGTAGCATGACACATTAGACATCTTAAAAAACTGGATACTTTGTTTTTAATTTAAACCTATTCGTACTCTAACATGGTATAAAGTGTCTCCTGACTCCTTTGCATCATCCCACCCTGACTGGGCAGCAACCATCAGCATCTTTTATACACACAGAATTCTTTGAAGAAAAGAGGCCCAGTGGAAGTTGAGAAGGGCCTAAAAGTTTCCTATCTGGGTTCCACTTGGGAACAAAGCACAGCTCTGGCTCCCACTGTGGTGTTTACGGAGAGTCCTGCTGTGAAACTTGTCCAAGAAGTTTGACTCTCCAAGGAAGAGAATATACAGAGAAGAAACAGCAGGAGACAGAGAATCAAAATCTTTTTTTTTCCCCTAACAATTTTTCTTCATGAGAATGAGATGAAGCATGTAATAAATTAGGACATCTCTCAGTTATCCTCATGGAGAGGAGGGAAAATGGGAGGGAGAAAGAGAGCAGAGGTGTGGTGGGGAGAGTGAAGGAGGAAATGCTAGCGTCTCTTACTCTTTCCTAATATTCTGAAGGGCTTGTATATCCCGATGTTGGTCCATCATTCCTTTTATGACTCTCTTCCTCTGGCTGGAAGCAGCTCTTTTCAACTGGTGCTTCCGGCATTCCAGTTCTTTCTGGTGACTTATCATCAGTGCATAACCATCATCCTTACCAAAAATGGGCTCTTCAGAGTCTGCCACCCAGGCAGGCAGCCGGAAAGGTTTATTATTCTTAACCTGAAAGTAGAAGACACAGAACATAGATGGAAATGACACATACACGACTCTATAGAGGGTTAGGAAATGTCCCGAATAGAAGAATGAAGGGGCTCAAAAATGACCCACTGTATAACACGGAGAGTATTCAGATTGTTACAATATCAATACACAGGTTCCGAATGCGATTGCAACTACATAATTTTTAAAACTATTAGTCTTCTTACCTGCATATCCAATTGTCTTTTATAAGAGATTCTCTCTTCTATCCTATCCTTCAGAAATTTCTCTCTTTGTGCAATGGCCCTGGCAGTTAAAAATCAAAGAACATGAACAGTTTGTTACACTTTAGTAATAAAGATCAATATCATCAAAACATGATTAATAAGTATTAATGGAAATAAGAGTCTGGTAAATTTCTTTAAATTATATATTATTTTTGGAGTTTTGGTTTTAAGAATAAAGAGATTGGGTCAAAACCACAGCTCAATGACTGAACCTATGCTTTGCATATAAGTCATAAATTCCTGGTACCATACCCCCTCCCCAAGCTCTGCAGGGAGCAACTCCAGAGCAGAGAGCCAGGAGTAAGCCCCCAGTACAGCCAACTGTGGCTCGAATGCTAAACAAACAAAAGAATAAAGATAATTGGAGTCAGAGAGATAGTACAATGCATAAATGCTTGCCTGTATTCAGGTGACCAGGTTTGATCCCTGACTCCTCATGCCAGCCCCTCAGTAACACCAGGAGTGATCTCTAGGCACGGAGCCAGGTGTAAGCCCTGAGCACAGGTGGGGGTGGCCCCCAAACTAGTAATAACAATAATAATTTAAGGATTAATAAAATAACTCAAATCTGGGATTGCTGGGAAATGCTCTGGACACAGGGCAGACAGGACAGGACTGAGCATGTGATCACCTATATCAAGTCTGGTACTATCTATGCCACCTTCCATGCCAGGACACACAAAAGCACAGCAACGGATAACTCCACAGATTACTCATCGTAAGATCATCTTTTGGGGTATTTCGAATGGCAAATTATGACTGTTAATGCAATATAATCTATCAAGTAAGGATAATGAAGCAGCTGTATTTCATAGAAATACATTTCATAGAAATACAATTAATAATACCCTAATTTATTTTTGGTGTTGGGGGTGGGGTACACCTGGCAGTGCTCAGAGTTTACTCCTGACTCTGTGCTCAGGAATTGTTCCTGACAGTGCTCAGGGGACCATATGGGATTCTGGGGATTGAATTCTGATCAGTTGCATGCAAGGTCAGCATCCTGCCCACTGTACTCTCTTTCCACCTCCATACAGAAGCTTTCTAAACTGCCAGAAGGGTGCCTAGTTAGGTTAAGTCTAAGACTGACCCTGTCTTGGACTCAGGTGACCCAAGCAAGACCAGTCTCATTCTCTTCCCTCAACACTTGGATGGAACACTCTAACACTCGTCCACCATTGAGCTGAAGTAAAGATGATGGCAGCTGATGAGCTGAGGCTATGAGCGGAGGGAAAGGACTTTCTGTGACCTCTCCCCAGCACTCTAGGTCCCCGCAAATTTCCGAGCTCTGCTTCTGTGGGCAGCCCACAGGGCTGAGAACAGAACCTCAGCTGGGAATATGCCAAAATGCCTGCTCCCAGGCCTTCCCTCTTCCACACCCACTCCAGACTGCTTTCCTACCTCCCCTCCTCCACCACCAGTAAAACAAAACAAGACAAAATCATGCTAATTATATCAATTGTAGGTTGGCAATTATTCCTGATTATAATAATGTTGGCAGTTGTATTTTTTCTAATGAAATGTTATGGTACTGGCTGCCAGTTGCATTACTCTGCTCAAGTGGGTTATAGTTGTGCCAATATTTATTCAATTCCACTTGGAAATAGATTTATATGAAAATTCTAAATTCATTTGAACAGAACTTACATATCTTTGATCTGCTCTCTCTCTAACTTATCCATCAGTTCCTTGTTTTGTTTTTCCTTCATTACCTTTTCCTGTTTGATTTTGATTTGTTGTAGCAGACTTTGGGTATATTCTTTATGTTTTGCAATATTGATACCAGTACTCTCAGGCCTTTTATCAAATAAAAAGGTATTCTAGAATTAAAAAAGCAATTCATCTATTTCAGTATATCAAAAGCAACAAATAAGAAAGGTAAATGAGAGAGTATAGTTAATCCACAGAATAACATGAGTGTCCAAAGATGAATCTGAAGCCAGGATACTGGATTCAAATCCTGGTATCTCCCATGCACCAACCATGCTCATAATGGCTCAGTTTGAACTTGGCAGCTATTCTGTCTGTGATCCCCAGCACCACAAGTGATTCCTGCTCATGCTATAGGAACCATAAAAAGAAGTGTGATTCCCCCCATCAAGACCACAACTTAAAAGATATGTGACATGAGTTCCAAAGCCAGGAAATGTGTTCTGTGGTAGACATCCCAGGGACCCCCAGACAACCACAACTATGATTTGTGCACATGCATGAAGCATGCTTCTTTCTCCCAGGAAACACATGTGCAAGCACAAAACCTAGTGAAATCTAATCTGATGTTAGATCCCCTGCAAACATCAATGCTGACCATGAACGAGCAGTGAAATAAGGTGGTGGAGGTGTGAGTAACCTAATCAGACTGACTGGATTTGGGTTGACCAAAGTCCTATTTCTGAGAAAGAAGAAAAAAGACTATCCTGGAGCAGAGAACCTGAGTTAGCCCTTAGTATACAGGGAAAAAGCAATTTTGAGTAAGTGAACAGTGTGGTCAAGGATGAGAAGAAGGTAGGCAGAGGCAGAGACAGAACTGGACCCTTACACTAAGCCTGGATACTGTAAACATTGTTGACCAAGAACAGGAACCAAGGAAAGACTCTCACCCAGACTGAACCTGAACACATAAGCTGTACATCAGAAAACTTAAGGCAGTGATTGTGACTCTTCTCATAGTGAGAGACTGGATGGGAGCAAGTTAACTTGGTTGATCATTAGAGAAGGTCCTTTGGTGGACATGACCGGAATATGCAGGGCTCTATTATATCCTATCCAGAAGGAACAGCAAGTCAAAGACACTGAACAGAGAAGCACAGAAGGCATGTTTCATAAGCTGATGTCAGTGATTATGGCTTCAAAAGCAAGGAGAAAAGGAGCTATGGAAGGGCTCAGGGCAGCAGAAACTTATAATTCAAAACCTTTAACTCATGATGGCCACTCAATACCTCTATTGCAAACTACAACACCCAAAAGGAGAGAGAACAAAAGGGAATGCCCTTCCACAGAGGTGGGGTGGGGGGGGATGGAGTGGGAGTGGTGGGAAGGATATTGGGAACATTGGTGGTAGAGAATGGGCACTGGTGGAGGGATGGGTAAACGATTATTGTATGACTGAAATATGAAAGTTTGTAAGTTTGTAACTGTACCTTATGGTGATTCACTAATAATTAATTTTTAATTAATTAAAATTTTAATTAATTATTTAAATTAACAATTTTTAAATTATAATTTTTAAAGTAACAAAAAATAATAAATTTCTGCCAACTATAAAGCATCGTAATAAAAACACTTTAACTCATTCAAAAGTCGTTAGACACTTTACACATTTGAGCGATATTTTTTCCTTAACAATTTTAAGAATCCTTTGCTTGTAAAGAACTGATGGCAGGACAAGAAGGAATGCAATGATCCATACTAGGATAATATTGCAGAAGCTAAGTTTTATAATGCAGCCTGGGCCAGCACTAACACTGTGGGTGGAAAAGTGAGAGACACTGCATAACCTGTGAGAGTTCAAATAATCCAGCCAGCTAATATGGTGATCTCTTCAGACCAGCTATTCTTAGATCAGTTTACTGTCCATAAGCAACTGCCTCAGGTCTCGACAAACAATTTCCATCACTGAAGAGTGGATGTGGCTAATAGGAGTTGTCTTGCAACTGTGCGAGGTGTGGAGACCCTTGCTTGAGCACTCAGGCACTAGTATCAATCTTTTATCCCCCACTTTCACTTCATCTGTTATAAAATGGCATAGTCTGCCAGAGTGCAGATCCAAATAGACTTGAAAACTATTAGCAGTAAATATTTTGAAAAGATTCTTACAGAGAACTCCGGCTTTATTTTCTTGTGAGTCTTTATAGCATCGGCCACACCAAGATTAAAGGCAGCATTTTTTTGATTTTGTTCTCTTGTTGCTAAGCACTTCATCTTTGCAACAAAAGGAGAGGAAAATCAGATATTAAAATAATGTCTTCAAAGTTTTAATTATGTTACTTCAAAGGTAGAAATCACTCTGCTTTTGGTTGCAACTGTATTTTCTGTTGTTTTTATTGCTTTGTATATCTAACTGTTGGGGGAAATGTTTTTGTTTGTGCCATCTCTATGGATACAGAAAGGAAGAGGAGTGGAAGATTTCACAAATGGTTAACCATGACACCACAAATTCAGGAGAGAACAATAAGATAATTATTGAAAAAAATCAGATAGAACAAATATAAGGTGGCATTCTGCTTTTATTTGCTTGAGATAGGCCATAAATTTGAAGGGAAGGGAATTGATCATGATCCAGAAATACATACATGTTTAAATAAGATGTGATGTATGATAGCATGGTTTTATTTGGGTGTACAGGGTACCCAGGACCATTCCCTGGGGTATTCAGTCAAGTGGCCAGGGGTTCAATGTGGTAGTGCTGAGACCCTGCTATATAACAATGTTTCCAAGTGGCATTTTATAATCATTTTCTATGATACTATGATAAATACTCTTGCATGTGGTATTTATCTACTTGGTATTTGAAGGATCAGAGATAGAACATGTTAGAGTGTGTGCTTTGCATGCAGGAAGCTCATGTTCTAGCCCCACACTGTATTGGTCCCCAGAGCAGCGCAAAACAAATTACCCTTTGTTTGAGTAGGGATTTTTGTTCTTTCCACATAAGGCACTGATGTAGGAGCCTTTCCTCTTCGAGCTCTTTCTTTTTCTCCTCCTTCCTGTTATACATTGGGATATTCCTCTGTGCTCGTTGCAGGCAGACATAGCACAGTTCCTATAAGGTAAAGGTAAAGGCCCTCCCGTTGATCATCGATTTGCTCGAGTGGGCCCAGTAACGTCTCCATTGGAGACTTTGTTGTTACTGTGTCTGGCATATCGAATACGTCACGGGGAGCTTGCCAGGCTCTGCCGTGCGGGCGAGATACTCTCGGTAGCTTGCCAGGCTCTCCGAGAGGGGCGGAGGAATCGAACTCGAGTCGGCCATGTTGGCTGCGTGCAAGGCAAACACCCTACCGCTGTGCTATAGCACAGTTCCTATAGGAACAAATTTTAGGACAACTTAATTTTCACTTTATTTTTACATTCTCTTCATAAGTTCTCCAAGACTGTGATATGAAGAGGCATATTTTATAAAGAATACATAACTGATAACAAAGTTAGATATTCAGTGATCCAACAAATACAAAAAAAAATGATTATTGAATTCTTACTTGATCAGAAGTGTTTATAGCAACTGAACATTACTATAAACCAACATTACTTATGCTACCCAGTAGATATTAACTATGGATTTGTTACTTTCCAATATGGGGTCTCAAGTACTAAGCCATAAACATGGATTATAACCATAAAAAAATAATTTCTAAGACTATCTTTGACAAACAAAAGTCAGTTCAATTCCTAGAAACACACACATACTGAACAAACAAGTCAGAGAAAACTTTTGATTAGGTTTTGTTTGAAGGCACTGTACCTGTCCGGCCTTATGATTTTCACAAGAAGAGTGTTTGAAACTTTTAGGCTTCTTTTCCTTCGGACAATCTGAAAATGAAACTCTATAAAAACAACATAACATCAACTAATGTTAGATATAGTTGACCTGTATAGCACGAATCATTTGGAAGCAAGTGATTATTTGGAAGCAAAATATAAGAAAAATATCTTGGTGGTTTTCTTGAAAATATCTCTATGTACAGAGGTTATGAATCTATACTTTATGTCAGATAAATCTGGATCCAAAATTCAGCTTCTTTGCTAGGAAGACTGGCTGGCATTAGACAAACTGGGTAAATTTGCCAAGGCTCAGTTATCGATCCTGTGAGATGAAGAAAAACATATTCAATCTAAAAAACAAAAAAGCACTAAGTACTTGCTGCGTACACAATTTCAGGCACAAGAGGTTAAGGGAGTAATACACACACACAAACACAGGACTCTTGCAGTATGTTTGATGGTCATAAATGCTATGCAGTGTCAGGGTGTGGTGGAGGGAAGTATTATATCACAAATGGAAGGGAGGATTTCACACCAAGAAGGTAACAACTGAGTAAATACTTGCAGAATGTGAGGAAGTAGCATTGTAAGAGGTGATGGAAAGGCTTTAAGGTAGTGTGAAGGATGCCAAATCTTTGAAGAGGTAGCCATACCTCTGTGTCCAAGGTCGCTTAAGGAAAATGAGTCAGTGAAGAGCACGTAGGAGGGACAAGGAATAGGGAATCTGGCAGATCCTGATAAATAATACTGGATAAAGGAATGGACATATTTAAATTCCTCACATCAAAATTGACTCAAAATATATTTAGACAGAGCAATAGAAAAAAAATACCAAAACATTACCTTCCTTTTTTTACTTCCTTTGCCTCAGATTCTTTCTGCTCTGCCTTAGATAAGATGGTATCTTTGGCAGTGGGCGTAACTTTTTCTGGAGCTTGCTTTAGTGAGAACATGGCTGCATGATAAATGAAAGTGAGCTTCCTTTCACCTTAAATAATATTTAACAGATCTTTAAAATTCGTAATTTTATCAAAGAAAAATATTTACCTAAGAAACATATTTATTGTCCCTTGACCCATTGTGGTTTAAAAGAAAAATCTGTTCACTAAAGACCGTTCCACTCATACAATGAGGAAAAAAACTTTTAGTATGTTATCCTGTAATATGTAATATGTAGTCCCTAAGTCACATATGACAAAACCAATGTCTGCAATCCAATTTTATCCATTGATGGTTTTATCCAATCAACATTATTTTATGTTTAAATTGTATCAATTATCAATTAATAGTGAACCTTTAAAAAATATTTTAAGTTAAGGATCTCTGTTTCTCTTGAAAAGTCACAAAATTTTATGCAACTTTGGAGTTGGGGTCAAGATGGCAAGCGCAGAGCTGGCGGCAGGACGGCGGCTCTCCGCTCTCTGACCGACCGACCGACCGCTGAGGGGCTTTGTGTAGTGTGGACCCTTGGACTTACCCTGGGAGAGTGCCGGTATGGAACTGGCTCCCCTGCAGAGCGTTGGCCTGGGGGACTCAGAGGCTGCAGCAGCTCCCAGCTCCCAGCTCCCAGCTCTTGGTGTTAGGGCAGCAGCAGAGTTTTAAAGTGACTGAAGGGGGCTCCCCGGTCCAGCTCAGTGCCACAATGGAGCGCGGGTTCCAGTGTTGGGGATGGGGGAGGGTTCCCACCATGGGGTCCAGTGGGGAGTTACTGGAGGGATGGTCCTGTAGCCGTTTCTTCCCCAAACCTGCCCCTGACACCGTTATGGAGGAGAATCTCCCTGAGGACCCTCTGCAGACCTAGGATTGGGCAAGTCCGCTGGACTGGTGGCTTCACCCACCCAGAGTGCCCAAGCCACAAACGGTGGCAGCCCTGGCCCCAGTCCTGGTCCCTGACAGGCGGTGCTGCCATCACCACTGGAGCCCAGGGGTCAGAGCACCACTGGTGGGTTAGCCTGGAACTCTGGGCAAGTACACCCAGAGGTGCCCTCAGGCTTCCTGATACCCCCAAACCACTTCGTGCTTCTGGCTGGACCCCAACAACTCAGGATCAAATTCCTCAGAAAGTAAATGCCAAAAGTAAGGTACACATGAGCTATACCTCTGGCTTAGCCATATAAGTTCATTTTTTGGCCTTGTCTCAGAGATTCATAAATAAATCTCTAAAGAGATCAAAAGCTGCAGTTGATCTCGAACCTGCACAGTGCTGCATAATCTGGGGCACACTGGATGAGGGGCCAGTCAGCCACTTGTTCCCACAATCCAAAATCACCACCATGCCCCTGGTGGGACCTCATCATCTCAGGGTGGACCTCACCAAGATATTAACAAGCTGAAAATTTAGGTGTGCGGTGTTTGTGACTAAAATCTCCAGGCTTTCTCAGAATCAGGATGGGCTATCTCCCCCCACTTCCCTATACTCCCAAAAGCCTTGGAAGTCACCCCCACAAATCAACTCCAGCGTCACCCTGTAAGCTCTTCTACCAGCCTTACTGCAAAGACCCATAAATAAATCTTGAAAGAGAAAAAAAGCCTTGTCCTCCCCACCCCAACGAGACCCCAAGTCATCGCCCATGAACAGCCTTTCTGGCTCCTGATCAAGCTGCTTAACGGCCATGATCCCAGAGACTCAGAAACAAATCTCAAAACCCAGTGGCTTTTGGCAGAAATGTGTCCGGACCCCGCAGTAGGTTACTGTCACCAGGACCACACCACAGGGGAAAGGGTGCTGTCCCTTCGCCTGCTCCCCCTTGATGGCTCGGTGGCCGCCATCCTCCAGAGGCCATTGGACCATCAGGCTTGGACCCACAGTGATGAAACTTGTTGGGCCTCACGGGATGGGGGTGGAGCCAGTCCTGTCCTCCCTGTCCCAATGAGACCCCAAGTCATCGCCCACGAACGGCCTCTCTGGCTCCTGATCAAGCTGCTTAACGGCCATGATCCCAGAGACTCAGAAACAAATTTCGAAACCCAGCAGCTTTTGGCAGAAATGTGTCTGGATCAAGCAGTAGGTTACTGTCGCCGGGCCACCCCAGGGGGAAAAGGGTGTTGTCCCTCCACCTGCTTCACCCTGGCGGCTTGGTGGCCATCATCCTCCAGAGGCCATTGGACAGTCAGGTTTGGGCCCACAGTGACAAGACATTTGGGGCCTCATGGGATGGGGGTGGAGCCGGTCCTGTCCTCCCCACCCCAATGAGACCCCAAGTCATCGCCCACAAATGGTGTCTCTGGCTCCTGATCAAGCTGCTTAACGGCCATGATCCCAGAGACTCAGGAGCAAATCTCGGAACCCAACAGGTTTTGGCAGAAATCCCTCCAGATTTAAGTGTTAAAATGTTGAAATTTCAAAATCGCGCAGCCATTACTGCAGCCATGCGACATCATATGTTATTCATAACCAGCAAAAGAAAACAAATTGTCTACTCTTGCCTTTTCAGCAGATCTGAGTGTTGGGGTAAAATCCCAAATAATAATGGTGGGTCTGGTGTCAAAATATTGAATGTGATCAAAGTAGAGAAAGAGTAATGTGGAAATCATCTGCCCCACAGGTAGGGGGAGGGTGTAGGATGAGGGTATACTAGGGGTGGAGAATGGGGACTGGTGAAGGTACGGGTGTTTCATTGTATGACCGAGACTTAAACCCGAAAACTTTGTAACTGCTCTCACGGTGATTCAATAAATAAAATTATTTAAAAAATGAAAATAAAAAGTAAGGTGGATTTCATGCACAATTCAATCAGCCAATCAGTGCTTGAATAAATAGCAGTACTGCTACATTAAAAGACAGAGAGAGAGAGAGAGAGAGAGAGAGAGAGAGAGAGAGAGAGAAAGCCACAGTTAATCCTGGACCTGCACAAGACTGAGCAAACCAGGGTAAATTGAAGGGGTCATCCTGGTGCCCACCCAACCAGAGCCCCAGCAGCTGCTTGCTCCCAGAATCCACTCCACTGTCTCAGGATGTATCTTACAGAAACATAATCTGCTAAAAATTCTGGTATGCAGATTTTGTGACTGAAATCTCAGACTTTCTCAGGATTGGGATGGGCTACCTTCTCCCACCTCCCTGTACTTCCAGAAGCCTAAGCAGTCACGTTCATACCCCAAAGCCTCCACCAGTTAAAAAAAAAAGCTACTCCAGCTTTACCTTCCTAATAAAAATACTGGAACTCCCTGAACAAATACAATGACCTCTTAGTACCTATACTGCAAACCATAATGAACAAAAGAAAAGAGAGAAAAAGAAAGGTGCCTGCCATAGAGGCAGGCAAGGAGAGGGGGTGTAAGGGGATGGTGAGAGGGAAACTGGGGACATTGGTGGTGGAAATGTACACTGGTGGATGCATGAGTGTTGGAACATGGTATAACTGAAACACAATAATGAATATCTTTGTAATGGTCTATCTCACAGTGATTCCATTTAAAAAATTATGCAATTTTGCCCACATTTCTACAAGTCAACAATCTGTTAAAAGAACAGTCCTTAAAGAGTACCCTAGAACTTCTGAGCATACTAGTATCTTTTTCAAAAAGTCTTTCAATTCCTAATATTTTCTTTGTTTTCTTCTGCAAAAGCAACATATTACATTAGGCTGAAGACAATAATATGAGAGTCTCTTATTTAGCCAGATAGCAACCTTGCCTCTCTCACCCCCTCAAGTGGCAAAAATCAGAATTCAAATAGGAGCTGGGGTGGACAGAAATAGGAAGAAGTTAGGTCACTCAAAGTGGTAAAAAATAAAGATCAGTCCAGGTAGGTAACAAGAATCTAACTAATATTGCATTATTAACTAATAATGTTATTTTTATGTATTACTTTATCACAAAATAATGTTATTTTTATGTTACATACAACAAACTTTGTTCATTTACATCACCTGCCAGGATCTCACAAGGCACTGAGTTTGAGTCTCATAAAGAAAAAAGCCACAGTTTAAAAAGTTTGAGGATTATTACCTGGTTAGGGTGAGATACAAGATTCCAGGAAGAGGGTTGTTTCTTAGTACAGTGATCATTCACAACTCTAACTTTACTTACTGTAGAAACTGGAGTTGCTAAGGAATATGGCTAGACCAAAAAGCAATGAAGATATATTGTACTTAGTAATAATCTGACCTACCTCTGTCATGATTTTTGCCTGACTTTTCTTTTATTAGTGCTGTTCTTGGCTTACTCTGTTCACCTTCTTCAGTAATAGTTTCCATTGGTAATTTTTTCTCACTCTCCTTCATATCAGTCCTAAGGATAAAGCAAGGCGTTCTGTCTACTGAATTAGACCCAAATAGGTGACAATGTAACTCTCAATTATAAGAAGCAAAATCAGTCAGCTAGAAAATTCTGCAATCTGTCTACTTCCTTGCCAGAGTTTACTGCTTTGGTTTGCTGAGGACAAATCAGATTCATTCTCTTTACAACCAAGTCTGGAAACCAATACCTTCCACTTCTATACTGAGGTCTTAAAAATAGATCTTTTATATAAAAGATGAGATTTAAGTTTTAGATTTTGATGTTTTAATGTCTTTTGTCTTTTATAACCAGATGTCAGAGGGATGTGATAGTGAAAGGTGGTTTTTTGAAAGCCTGAAGAGAAAGATTAAATAGCTCTTAGGTAAAGAAATAACTCAGAAATAATAATTTTTTTCTCTGCTCTTTCTCTCCACATTTCTCCATCCTCTTCTCAGGAAATGTAAGAAACTTGCGATGGGAACAGGAGTTTAATTTTTTATATAGTTATAGATTTTCTTTGGCCTCAGGTTAGAGGTGAAAGCACACTACCAGTAAATTTGGGGCCTAAACTTCACAAAAATAAAACAATTGTTTTGAGTATGGTTGTCATGATCATTTCTAGATTTTCTAATTAATGGTAGTTTCCATGTATTACTTTTAACTCAAAGAGATTATTTCCCTCCTGGATTGCATAGGTCAAAATGTCCAAAAGGATGACCAAATATGCCTTTCCAGACGTAATTAAAATATTCACACCTATGCTATGTGTTTAGGGGTTTGATGCAAAGCAAAAAAAAAAAAAACAAGAGTATGTTATAGCCTAAAACCATAAGAAAATAATCTGAGTAGCTGTTTGTTTCTGTTTTCTTCCACATGAAATAACAGGTATGGTGCAACAACTAAGACTAAGCACATGATTAAGATGACACAATGAGTCTCCTAATTCTTACAGCAGTGTTCTTAGTACTTTATCATGCTGCTTTATCTATTTTTAAATATTTAACAAAATATCATTTAAATTATAATTAAATTTGTACCTCCAAAAACCAGACAAAATTATACATGTCAACTAGTTTTGTTAAATGCATTAAGTGCGATTAGTGTCAGACATCGGGGACTTACCCCCCTTAGACAGCTAGTATTTTATTTTTATTGGTACTAGTTTTCATTACCATTACTGTCATCATCTCCAATAGCAGATACTAGTGGCACTGCCACTGTGCTTGTCTAAAGTTGCTCCATCAGACCTTGCCTCTCTCACCCCCTCAAGTGACAAAAATCAGAATTCAAATAGGAGCTGGGGTGGACAGAAATAGGAAGAAGTCCCTGCCACAGAGGCAGGGTGGGATGGGGTGGATGGGGGATGGGAGGGGTACTGGGATCTGTGGTGGTGGGAAATGGGCGCTGGTGGAGGGATGGGTACTCAATCATTGTACAATGGAAACCCAAGCACAAAAATTTGTAAGTCTACAACTGTACTTCATGATGTCTCACTAATAAAAATTTTAAAAAATTAAATAAAAAATAAAAATACCCTAATATCCCTAAAAAAAAGGTAGGAAGAAGTTAGGTCACTCAAAGTGGTGGAAAATAAAGAACAGTCCAGGTAGGTAACAAGAATCTAACTAATATTGCAGAGACTAACGCTGATTAGAGGTACTGCAAAATTTCCAGTCTGCAAAGAGCAGTTTTAAACAGGAATATCCTAGTTCCCATTGCTTTTAGTTTATTTTGTTTTGGGGCCACACCAGGATGCTCAGGGATTACTCCTCATTCAGCACTCAGCATTTACTTCTGGCAGTGTTCAGGGGACCACATGGGATACCAGAAATGAAACCCATTCATCAGGTGCAAGGCAAGCACCATACCAGCTGTACCTATCACTCCAGTCCCAGCAACTTGACTACAAAAAGTATCTGCAATAGCCATATTTTGCAGAAAGAGCCTACACTAAGAAGAATGAGTGCTAACGAAAGAGGAGAAACAATGCTAGCTTGTCCAATAGTCAAGGAAGACCTACTGGTGCCCGGAGGAACCCCGTACGGTAAAGCACTGACCTTGGAAAGGAAAGGACGCTGATGGGACGCATCTTATCAGTCTCTGTGATGGAAATTACCGAGTCTGCCGTGTAAGGCCTCTAGAAGACAGAGATCAAGAACATTAGACTGAGCTATTGTCCCAGATACAGGCAAATCAAAGTATAAATGTTTCAAGGCAAGGCTATGGTGACACTCTTTATTGCTGTTTCTGTTTAAGGGTTCAAGTCGAGAATTTAAAATTCAATGTGGAACAATGTCACTTATTAAAAGAGTCACTCTTCCATCTGCACTTGTTTGTTCATTGCAGCATTCTTTATAATAGCCAGAAACTGGAAGAAACCTGAGTGCCCAAGAACAGATGACTGGTTAAAGAAACTTTGGTACATCTACACAATGGAGTACTATATAGCTGTTAGAAAAGATGAAGTCATGAAATTTACATACAAGTGGTACTACATGGAAAGTATCATGCTAAGTGAAATGAGTCAGAAAGAGAGGGATAGACATAGAAAGATTGCATTCATCTGGGGGATATAAAGTAACAAAATATGAGATTAATACCCAAGAATAGCTGAGATCAGCACCAGGAGGATTACTCCATAGCTTAGAGGCCAGCCGGGTATTCTAGGGGAAAGGGCAGTTCAGATAGAGAAGGGAGCACCAAATAAAGGGTGTTTGGAGGATCCTCCCAGGAGGGGAGATGCATGTCGAAAGTAGACTATGGACTGAACATGTTTGCCACTCAATGCCTCTTTTGCAGACCACAACACCCAAAAGGAGAGAGAGAACAAAAGGGAATGCCCTGCCACAGAGGCAGGGTGGGAGGGGGGAGATGGGGGGGGGGAATATTATCCATGGTGGTGGAAAATGGGCACTGGTGGAGGGATGGGTATTCGATCATTGTATAACTGAAACCCAAGCACAAAGATTTGTAAATCTACAACTGTACCTCATGGTGCTTCACTAATAATAAATAAATAAATACATAAACAAATAAAAGAGTCACTCTTCATAGTCACACTAGTAAATCCACTGAGGCTGCCTTTTCTCAAGTCACTTCCTCATTTTGTCTTCAGAGTTAATCGCTTATTTTTAGAAGATAGCTGACTTATCCAAACAAGCATGACAATAAGCAAATGGCTAAAATAGCTACTTCTATACCTCACTCTCAAGTCAGGTACTTAAAGGTAGTTCTGGAGTTCAAGAGACTCATATTAAAATCTCCACACTGATAACAACTGTGCAGTCTTAGACACTAGGTATGTGATAATAAAAATAAGAACTTATTTAAGGAATTTGTATGAAGTACTCTGTGTAAGTAGCTAGCATATACTATGTATCAATAGCCTCCGTTTAATATATAGATATGTATAACTCACTTCTGGATTAAAAAAATAAACTTTCAAAATACTTTGGGGAGAAGGGACCAATAAGACAGTAAGAGTTGGAATTGATCACTTTGGACAGGAACTGAGTGTTAAAAGTAGGCAAAGTTTTATACACAATAACCTTTCAGTCTCTGTACTGCAAACCATAAGGCTCAAAAGAAAAAAGAGAGAGATAGAGAGGAGAGAGAGGAGAGGAGAGAAATGAGAGAGAGGAGAAGAGAGAGAGAAGAGAGAGAGAAAAGAGAGAGAGAGAGAGAACATATGTGCCTGCCACAGAGGTGAGGGGCAAATAGGAACCCCATTGGTGATGGGAAATGTACACTAGAGAAGAGACAGGTGTTGGAACACCTGAAACCCAATCATGAACAATTTTGTAACTGTGTACCTCATTGTGATTCAATACATGAAGTTTTAAAAAATACTTTGGAGAAATGCCCAAAATAGACTAAAATATTTTTTGAGCAAAAGTTGCATCACTGAAATAAGTACACACAGTGTCTCATCATACTCAATACTTTATAGCAAACTCCAAAACATATTTTATAGAAGTCAATGAGTATAGGATTAACCTAAAGTTCCACAATTAAATAAACTTAGTGTGTTTAATTATTATCCTCATTGTCAATAACAGATGCTAGAAACACACCACTGTGCTCTCCTACCTTGTTCTTGTGCTCACCCCCCAGACTTATCCAAACCTTTTCTCATAGAAAATCTTTCAAGACGGTTCATAAAATGTTGTCTTAGTGACACAGCAATTAAGACATCTTTTTACAATGCCCAATCAAGCAAAAAAGCTCTGTAGAATCCTTTAAAGTTAGAAATGATCTGCACTTTGACTTTGCTTCCAATTTTTCAAATCTTGCTTTGTGTTTTCATAGAAAACACGATTGTACCTGTTTTCTCTTTACACACACAGGGTTAGGATTCTTCTTGGTAACCCTGTCCAAAGTTAAATTCTAAAGAAAACAGTAAAAGCCTCATTATGTACAACTGACTTCATTTCCAACCTGTAGGCAAAAGCTACAGGAAAGGACAAATTGAAGGATAGAACTAGACTATGTTCATAGCTTTTACACGATTAATTAGTCTTTCATTTAAAAGTCATACCTGCTCTGTGGGACAGGGTAATATTGTAACATGCCGTGATAATCCAATTGATCCATAGAAAATCTTTGTTGGTGCCCTGAAATGTACCCAAGTACATTCAGCACTCAATTAGTTCTGCTGACTGCTGAATTTTCAATCTCCTTTAATTCTATGTCCAACTGAGCATGAGATCATTTAATGGCCAACACTTATGGAGTCAATTATGAAATTTCTTTTACAATATGGCAAATTTAAAGTTAAAAGTACATTTCCTTGACTTGGATTTTTTGTCTTGTCTTTTTTTTGGGGTCACACCCAGCGATGCACAGGGGTCACTCCTGGCTCTGCACTCAGGAATTACCCCTGGCGTTGCTCAGGGGACCATATGGGACGCTGGGAATCGAACCCTGGTCGGCTGTGTGCAAGGCAAATGCCCTACCCTCTGTGCTACAGCTCCAGCCCTGAATTAGATTTTATTGTAGACTTTTACTTTTTAAAAATATCAGCAAAATGAAAGAATAAAGAATCCGTACTTGAGGGGCTGGAGTGATAGCACAGCAGGTAGGGGATTTGCCTTGCATGTTGCCAACCTGGGTTCAATTCCCAGCATCCCATATGGTCCCCCGAGGACCGCCAGGAGTAATTCCTGACTGCATGAGCCAGGAGTAACCCCTGAGCATCGCTGGGTATGACCCAAAAAGAAAAAAAATAAGAATCTGTACTTGAATTCCAGTCCTATTAGTTACAGCACCCTGGCTTCAGCTTTCCACATACTCAGAACACCACTTTCTTCGGTTTACACCTTCAGGATAATAATAGATAGTAATTGTCATGTGGTGATGTTTTGAGACAAAATAAAATAATATATGTGGAAGAACTTTTAAAATTATCAAGTACTACAAAACATTCTGAATTATGAGTTTCTACTATTATTTGTATTTTTCAGTTAACACAACTTAAATTTCCTTTATCCTTCTAGTAGTCCTTTTTCCAAAATTAATTATCTAATAATAAGTATTTCTTCTAACTAGAACTGTCACTCAAAATATGTCAAACTAAGTTTTTCTTAAGTGATGACCCCCCAGTTAGTTCAGAGTTATGATGAGATTGGAGGGTTTATAATAAAAACATTAATTTACATTTGCTAGGGTATACACCAAAGCTCCGCTGCCATCTACACCATGAAGGAAGTCTTTAAAAAATTTCATCTTCACTTTGTCATCTTTAATGGCAAGGACACCAATCCCCTTAAAAGTGAACTCGACGTGTCTTTGCATAGAGATAGATCGTGATAACAGTTGCAGTGTCTCTTTTATGCAGCCTTCTACCACATCTTTGTTGAAAGGGCTCTGCAGCGTTATTGTAACAAAGTTTAGTGGGACAACTGGGATGTCACCTGAGGAGAAAAAAGTTAAACTGGATGAGGAAACGCAAGTACATATAGCATATACAAAAGTGTACAGAGAGGGGGTGGAGGGATGGTACAGCAGGTAGGGCACTTGCCTTTCATGGTCTGGACCTGGCTTTGCTCCCCAGCACCACATCTGGGCCACTGAGCTCTGCCAGAAGTGACCCCTGAGTGCAGAGCCTGAGTACAAGACCTGAGCATCGCTGGGTTTGAACTCCCCAAACATAAAAACAACATACAAATAAATATCAATCTCACTCACTATTCAAATATACAATTTGCCTTCACCTGAAGCCTTTAATTATATTCAATGTGCAACATTCCTATAAACAACGAACACAACTGTTTATCCATAGATAACAATCAATACAACTTTTCCTAAAAGTTTAATGCATTTTTGCTCAAAATAGGAACTGACAACTTTCTAAAAATACTCAAAACAAATTTGTTTCTTTTCTGTTCAGTTTTTGTTTCGTTTTGTTTTAGGTCATTCCCAAAGGGTTTTGGGAGTCTCATCAGAGCATATTCTGAAATGTTCAGTCTAACTATCTTCCACAAGAGGTTATAATGTATGCCTGTCTCCTAGTTGTAGTATCATTATAGTTTGTCACATCATTACATATCATATACATATGATATGTATTATATACATAATTCTATAAATTAAGTATTATAGAAGCAAAAATATATAAATGAGGCAAATTTTTCACAGCTTCTACTAATTTTTTCAAACCAGAAACCCTAAATGAACTGTTTTTTAAAAAGCACCTTTAATTTCTTCATGCCTAAAACATGACTGAAATCTGATGTGATATATAGATTTGCTCTGCTGTCACCTTCCTCACACAGAAGACTCTATTGCTCTTCTATCTGGATCCTCCCTCTCCTAGAGGTACTGCGTGAAAAGTGTGTCTCTCAATCAGAAATGAACAACTCATCAAGGTCTGCTCTTTCACTTTCATTTCTAGGTCAGTTGTATTTTGGAAAGGTTTAAGCATTAAATATATTTACCAGGAACATAGACTTTGTTCTGATTGAGCCCATGTTTTTGTATTAGTTTCTCCGATAGAAAAAACATGGGCCTCTTCGCTATGATAAATTTGTTGTTTCCTATTTCCAGTCGTTGTCTTACAAAAGTAAATATTCCAAGATCTGGAATTTGAACTCCCTAAAAACATAAAGAAGACAATGACAAAATTATTGATAGTATCAAAAAAAATAATTAATACTATTTTCCCAAAACATAAAGAGAATCAAGCTTAGGGCTTAAGAATTCTGTGGTCTCAAAACAAAAACAAACAACAACAACAAAACAAACAGTACACTGTTAAAAGCCCACATCAAGGGCTGGGGGAGAGGGCAATAGAGGTAGAGAAGGGCCCATCTCAGTATCTGTATTACAAGCGATAATGCCCAAAGAGACAGAGACAGAGACAGAAATACAGGAAGGAAAATGCCTGTCATAGAGACAAACTGGGGGGTGGGGGGTCAGGAGGGAAATTGCGGACTTTGGTGATAGGAAATGTATACTGGTGAAGGGATGGGTGTTGGAACGTTGTATGACTGAAACCCAATCATGAACAGCTTTGTAACTGTATCTCATGGTGATTAAACTTAAAAAAAAAAAAAGAAGAAGAATTCTGTAGCCTGTAAAACCCCTTGTAGCTATAACATCTCGTGACTAACGTTTTCAAATAATTTCAATCCATGATGTTTTCCTGATAACACCTTGCTAATCTATCATTCAAAGACTGTGAAGATAAAGAAAAAAAAGAAAAAGAAAAGTTGTAGGGATTCTATCACTGCATCTAGGGCTACTCTTACCTTTATTGTGTGCTACTTAGAATTTTATGTAGTAGAGAGATAACACAGCAGGTATTTACTTTGCACACAGCCAACTCGGGTTAAATCATTGATTCACTGAGCACTGCCAGAACTGGCCCCTGAGCAGAACTAGGAATGAGCCCTCAGCGCAGCTGGGTGTTGCCCAAAAACAAAATGAAAATTTAATCATTTGCTATTAGATGAAAGGGAAAACATTTTTTGGGGGGGTTGTGGCCACACCTGCAGTGCTCAGGGCTTACTTCTGGCTCAGAGTTCAGGGATTACTCCTGCTCAGGGGACCATATGGGGTTCCTAGGATCAAACCCGGGTCAGCACTGTGCAGAGCACCGTACTATTGCTCCAACCCCTAGATAGAAAGAGTTGAAAGGAATAAGATCATTTCTGCTTTCTCGTTTCTCCTTTTAGGTGTTATGTCTTTCACATAAAATCAGAAGTCCCACAAGATACAAGCTTACCTTGCTTATATGAGTATACAGAGTAACTGCACAAGGAAATGCAGTGTATTGGGGGAGAAGGGTGTTGCCTAGATCACCCCGACCCAGAATATAGGAAGGAGAACAGCGAAGAAAAGAAATTGAGTGGAGAAACAAGAGGCGGGCGGGAAATAACGGGGGGACAAAGTCTCAGGAGTACATCATACATGGGTGGCATAGAGGAGTGGTAAATTCAACAACAATGAAAGTGGAGATCCAAACCACAACCAAACTCTAAAATGTGCCTGTCAAAGAGGTAGGCTGGGAGTGGGGGCATGGGGAGACTAAGAGGTAACCTGAAGACACCAATGGAGGAAAATTGACACTGTGGGTGGCACTGCTGGTAGAACATAGTATGCCTAAAACTCAACTATAAATAACTTTGTAAATCACAGTGTCTTGATAAAAATAAATAAAACAGAAGTCCCAGCATCCAAGACTTATATACATCTTGGATGATAAGTGAAAACAAATGCTTTCCCCTATCTCCTTGGAACTACCTTATACTTAGGTACAAAATCACACATTGTGCCAGAGAGAGTTGAATAAGCCGTGCATATCTTACATGCAGGAAGTCCAGCATAGCTCCCTGAGGACACAGGGTGTATGACCCAGCACCCAACCCACACACACATCACAGGTCTACAATGACCAAGAAAAAAGAATGCAAGAAAGTGAAAGTAGTACTCCAGAAAACTGGTTCTTGCCCTTCCATACTTTCCACTGTCTCCCTTCCTCACTAACCAAGTCCCTGTCTAGTTCTACGGAATCCAAACTCAAGTCTTAATGAGAAGAAATAGACCAACACTGGGTGAAGTTTCTCATTTTTTGGCAAGTTGAGCCCAGTCTCTGAATTCTTGTTGTTTGTTTTTTGAGAGGTTTTCTTAGGGGTCACACCCGGCTAGGCTCAGGGGTTCCTCCTGGCTCTGCAATCAAGAATTACTCCTGTTGGTGCTTGGGGACCATATGGGATGCTGGGAATCGAACCCAGGTCAACCGTGTGCAAGGCAAACGCCCTACCCGCTGTACTATCACTCTGGCCCAGTCCCTACATTCTTTTTCTTCTTTTTTTTTATGTAGGAGTACTGCTATTTATTCAGCCACTGATTAGGCTGACTGAATTGGGCATGAACTCCACCTTACTTTTTTTTTCATTTTTTATAATTTTATTTATTGTATCACCATGAGAGCAGTTACAAAGCTTTCGGGTTTAAGTCTCAGTCATACAATGAAACACCCATACCTTCACCAGTGCCCATTTTCCACCAGCAAAAACTACAGTATACCCCATTCCACACCCTCCACCTACCTGTGGGGCAGATGATTTCCACATTACTCTCTCTCTCTCTCTCTACTTTGATTACATTCAATATTTTGACACCAGACCCACTATTATTATTTGGGATTTTACCCCAACACTCAGGTCTGCTGAAAAGGCAACAGTGGACAATTTGTTTCTATTGCTGGTTATGAATAAATAATATATGAATAGTGGTTGCAGTAGTGGCTGTGTGATTTTGAAATTCTAAAATTTTAACAATTAAATCTGGAGGAATTTCTGCCAAAATCTGCTGGGTTCCGAGATTTGTTCCTGAGTCTCTGGGATCATGGCTGTTAAGCAGCTTGATCAAGACCCAGAGAGGCTGTTTGTGGGCAGAGACTCAGGGCCTCATTGGCATGGGAAGGAAAGGACCACCTCCACCCCCATCCCATGAGGCCCCGCGTGTCTCATCACTGAGGGCTCAAACCTGACTGTTCAATGGCCTTTGGTGGATGGCGGCCATCCAAGCTGCCAAGGGGGAGCAGGCGGAGGGACAGCACCTTTTCCCCCCTGGGGTGGCCCAGCAACAGTAACCTACTGCGGGGTCTGGATACATTTCTGCCAAAAACTGCTTGGGTTTCAAGATTTGTATCTGAGTCTCTGGGATCATGGCCATGAAGCAGTTCGATCAGGAACCAGAGAGGCCATGCCTCCAATTATATAGCTAAACCAGAGGCGGTTTGTGGGTGTGTCTCCCACATACCTAACTTTTGGCCGTTTCCCTTCTTGGTAAACTTTGCCCCAAGTTGTTGGGGTCTGGCCAAAGGCACAGCAGCAATTTTGGAGTATCTGGAAGTCTGAAGGGGCCTGCTGATGCACACTCCTCACAGGTAGAGATTGACCTGCTGGTGGCACCATGCCCTCCCAGTGCCTACATTCTTATATTTCTATCCATACCCACATGCAGGCAAGAAAAGGCATCCTGTCTTTCTATAGCTTTTATAGTGAGGAACTATTAGATTACAGATAAAAAGAATTCACCAAGTACTTCTGCACATACCCACTGATCAGTAACATGCATGTATTGCCAGTAAAAAAGACCTTGGAAATTCATCATCTAATGATTTTGGAAATTCATCACTTACTGATTAAATTATGTTTGTTAAATCTGTTAGCTACAGGTCCCAAGAACATGAGCATCACAAAATCACAAGGCTGCAAGTTAAACTGGGTAACAAGTTTGCCAAGCTACTCCCACAGACTTCAGCAAAATAAGAAAAGACCCTTAAGACTCCTATATTAAACTGGAAATCCTACCTTCGAGAGTGAATACTGCTGTTGGATAAAATCTGATACAACTTCCCAGATGGTAGAAACATCTAAAATTCAAGGGATGCAAAATAAAATTGGTTTATGTAAGCACTTATGTCATTGGACCTAATGCTAATAAGTATGTTAGCATAAAATGAACAAATAACACTGTCACTGTCCTCCCGTTGTTCATCGATTTGCTCAAGCGGGTCCAGTAACGTCTCCATTGTGAGACTTCTTGTTACTGTGTTTGGCATATTGAATACTCTCGGTAGCTCGCCAGGCTCTCCGAGAGGGGTGGAGGAATCGAACCTGGCTCAGTCGGGCTGGCTGCACGCAAGGCAAATGCCCTACCGCTGTGCTATCACTCCAGCACAAATAACAGAACTCCTAATTTTAAAATATGATTACTTCCAAAAATTAATTTTCCTGATAAACTAAATCTTATGTCTAAATTCCAAAATAATTATACACACTTTAAAATAATAACATACTTTTGGAGGCTAGAACTCTGAACTCTGGTATAGCAGACAGGAGGCTTGCCTTGCACCCAGGCCCACCCTCAACATCACATATGATTCCTTGAGCCCTGCCAGGACTGATTCGGGAGGGCAGGGCCAGTAGTATGCCCTGAGACCTACCAGGCATGGCCGAAAAACCAAATAAGTAAGTTAAATTAAAAATTGTTCATACCTCATAAATTATAAAATAGCATGCTTAAGATATATATTAACATAAAAATAAACTTTCTAATTTATAAAACTTATCTTCTAAAATTGTGAGACTTGTCTCATAATGGAGATGTTACTGGTGCCTGCTCAAGCAAATCGATGAACAACGTAAGGACAGTGCTACAGTGCTACAGTGCTATCTTTTAAAATTAAAATAGTTAAGAAAGACAATGCAATATTAAACTCATTTAAACAAATATATAGGAGCATATATAATACAGTCGAAGTGTGTGTGTGTGTGTGTGTGTGTGTGTGTGTGTGTTTCCCAGAGATAAAAGCACAGTACAGTGGGAAGAAGTGTGGTGTTTGAAGACCTTGAAGTTTGAAGCTGACCTCACTGCCTCTACGGTCACTGTCATGGTCCTCCCGATGTTCATCGATTTGCTGGAGCGGGCCCAGTAACGTCTCCATTGTGACACTTGTTACTGTGTTTGGCATATCGAATATGCGGCGAGATACTCTCAGTAGCTTGCCGGGCTCTCCAAGAGGGGTGGAGCAATCGAACTCGGGTCGGCCATATTGGCTGTGTGCAAGGCAAACGCCCTACCGCTGTGCTATCGCTCCAGCCCCACTGCCTCTACAAACTTCAGCAACTTCACCAAGACTCGTGCAAACTCACAGTGGAGCACAGACATGCTATCATTATGTAATATTAAATGCAGGTAAAATGTTGGAAAGCATCAGGACTTAACACGTACAGTTTCTTTAGCTAAGATTAGGAGCCTAGCTTCATCTTTACAATGGGTCATTTGTGAAAGCAAGTAACTGGTAATTTGACATCAGCTTCTGTCCTACAACTAATAAAGCTCATGACAAGGAGACCAGCAGTGAATGAAAGGGGTGTGTGAATATTCACTGTGTCTAACATCTCCTCTGTTAGGTCTGTCTGATCTTGAGACCACTCCTTTCTCTGTTAGGCCCCTCTGATTTGCAACACAACTCCCCTGAGTTTTCAACCCTATTTTCTAGCCATAACTTTTCATTGTCCTTTACAAGCACATCTTCCTCAAGCTTAAATATTAGTTATTCTGGGGCTGAAGCAATAGCACAGGGGGGAGGGCATTTGCCTTGCATGCAGCTGACCCAGGTTCAATTCCCAGCATCCCATATGGTCCCCTGAACACTGCCAGGAGTAATTCCTGAGTGCACAGCCAGAAGTAACCCCTGAGCATTGCCGGGTGTGACCCAAAAAGCAAAAAAAAAATAATAAAATTAAAAATTAAAAAAGATATATTAGTTATTCAGGACTGGAGCGACAATTGGGAGGGCATTTCTCTTGCACACCGCCAACCCGTGTTCTATCCCCAGCGTCCCATAAGGTTTCCTGAGCACCACTAGGAGTGTTTCCTGAACGCAGAGCCAAAAGTAGCCCCTGTGCATTGCCGGATGTGACCCAAAAAGCCAAAAATATAAATATTAGTTACTCAAAATCATTGTTTTCTGTGGCCCCCCAGTCCTGCCAGGCAGACCCATCAAACAGAAGTTCTCCTGGGCTCAGGCAGTGAGTGGTGACTGCCTCAGCAAGAGTGCCTGGGCGGTGGGGGCCAGAGCCACAGCACAGCGGGGAGGGTTCAATCCTTAGCATCCCCTACAGTCCCCCAGCACTGCCAGGAGTAATTTCCGAGTGCAGAGCCAGGGGTAATCCATGAGCATCACCAGGTGTGACCCAAAAATTTTTTAAAAATTAAAAAAAAAAGAGTTCTGGGCACCAGTTGGTCATGGACCAGATGAAATGGTTTCTGTACCAAGGTGTCAGCCCCTCCTCTTTCACAGACATCTTTCTTAATACTGTGCCAGATGTTAAGGGGAAAAATAAAGTCGCAATGCAGGGCAGGAGAGAGCACAGCAGGGAAGGCCTGCACCTGGCCCACTGGACCCAGACCTCCAGCACTGAGGCCTGAGCCAGAGTTAGCATCAGCTGTGAGTGCATTCAGGTATGGCTAAAAAACCCAAGTCAAAGCACTAATATCTTCATGAAGGGGACTGAAAATGGACCCTTTGGTAGTTGTTCTCATCAAACATTTATGGAGCACTTTATGCTCCACTCCAATTGAGCACAGTACATACATTCTTACACTCAAACAACACCCAGGTGAGGCCCTGGTTCCATCCATGGCTCTGCATGGTCCCCTGAATACAGAGCCAGGAGCCTTAGCTTAGTTGGCAAGGCCCCCAAAAGACACAGCTCAGCTGGTCCTGCCTCCCTAATCTGTCCCCGCCCCCCCACCCCAGCAGTAGACTAGCAGCTGGCTGTCCGGGCTCACCCATCCCGCAGAGCACAGGGAAGGGTCCCCGCTGAGACCCTCCAGGTCCTTACCTTCCTGAGTCAGCGTGGGTAGGACAGGCAGAACACTCTTGTTCATGTTATTCGGGAAAGGGAAAAGAACGTCCATGATACTCAGCCTAGGAGTGAAGCCTTCCTCCCTTCTTTCAATACACACACGTATACTGAACAACAAAAGGGGCTTCCCACTGCAGACTCCAGCAGCAGAAGACAAAAATAAATAAATAAAAGTAAAAAAAAGAACAAAAAAAATTCAAAAAAGAAAAACTATAAAATTAAATTAAAAAACAAATTATAACAAAATAATTTGTTATGAAAAACAAAAAAACTGATGTGCAAAAGTTATTTGCACAAACGTGGTCTTCCACTTTTAACTCTGACAACCTGGAATTCTAGATGTTCATTTACAGTAATAGGGAAAATAAAAAAGAAGAAAAAATAATTAAAGGACCCAAAATGAAAAAAAAAACAATAAAATTAAGGTGAAGAAACAAAAACAAATTGAATTAAAAAAAAGAAAACAAAATGCACAAAAGTGATAATACGAAATAGTTTTTCCACACTCAGACTCTAACAACACAAAATGTCAATCCAGAGCTCTAGGTGTTCCTTAAAATCAGAAGTGAAACAAATGAATAAAAAAAATAAAATGCTAAAAAATTGAAAAGGTGGAAAAAGCGAACAGAAAAACCCCCAATAAAATAAAAGTGAAAACACTGAAATAAAAAGTAAACGAAACAATAACAAATACGATGTATAAAAGTGACTGATCCAACAACCTGGAGCTCTACTAGATGTTCCTTAAAATTGAAAAAGTGAAACAAAAATAAAATCAAAATGGAAAAATAAAATAGAAGGAAAGAAAAAAATCAAAAAAAAAAGAAAACGATAAAAGTGGGGTAAATGGAAAAACAACAACAAATGAACAAAGAAATAAAATATACAAAAATTGAAATACAAAAACAAATTATATTATATTTTAATTTTTTTGAAGACAAAGCTAAAATCAACGTACAAATGTGTTGTTATGTACAAAAGTGGTCTTACTACTTTCAAACCCCACAACGCAAAGCTCTAGATGTTCCTTACAAATAAAAGTGAAAAAAGAAATAAGAGGGGGGAAAAAAGTAAAAAAAACTGTAAAAAAAACTATAAAAACTATAAAATGAAAGTTTAAAAGATGAAATAATTGAAAAAGCTAATAAGTAAAAATGAAAATAAACGTGAAAAGTTAAAATAAAGAAAAAACAGTGAAAAGGTGGAAATAACGGGAAATAAAAAAGAGAAAAAAAGAAAAAGAAAAAAATGGTCAAAGAAACAGAAAAACTATGATATAGAAAAAAAATAAAACTAAGAGAAAAAAAACAAAAAATATAATAGAAAAGAAAAAGAAAAACAAAGGGAAAAAAGCAAAGAAGGAAATATAAAATAAAGGCAAAGAAAAAAAGGAAAACGAACCAAGGAAGACGCTCTCTAGGCGTCCTGTGCTCTGGTCCGCCCGAACCGGCCCGGCGACTCGGAGCCGCGCTCAGCCCCGGCGCGTTGCTAGGTGACTCTGACGCCACAGAGCCTGCGCTGACATCACAGCGTCGGGGGTGACCCTCCCTCTCCCCCAGGGCGGGCGGGGCCGCCGGACCGTGGAATCCCGCAGCGGGGACAAGGCTAGCCGTGTTGAAGGCGATGACGTCGTTCCCTTCGCGCTCTCTGCGCCTCCTCATTGCCCACCCCGCACAGCAGTGTAGGCCGGTTCTGCATCACTTGGGACGCGGAAACACTTTTGGCCCTGTGACGGCGTTTGAAATCCCCATATGCGCTCTAAGTTGGCGTTTCCACTAGAATTTGTTGATCAGGTTTGGTTTTTCCTGGGCACTCTCCCTTGGAAATAGAAAAGTAGGAAAGAGAACTTGGTTCTGTTATTCGAGTGTAGGTCTGTCTCCACAGCGTAACTCAGCCCTTTCCTTACACTGCATAAATCTCATTCTGCCCACACAATTATTTGTCATACCTCTGCTGACAGTGAATCATCACAAAAGATGGAGAATCCAACTTCAGGGCTGGAGCTATCGTCCAGAGGGTAGGGAGTCGCCCTGTATACCCACGGACACCCCAACAACTGACTCCTGAGTGCAGAGCCAGGAGTAACCTTAAGCATCTTTGGGTGTGGCCCCCAAACAAAACAAATAAATACAGCTCTAGTGGGGTCTGTTGACTCCCACAGGACCTACCACAGCCTATGGGCCCTAAGAGCCAGGAGTAAGTCCTGAGCATAGCAAGGCGTGACCCAAATACAAAGTAGCACTGTAGCACTGTCATCCCGTTGTTCATCGATTTGCTCGAACGGGCGCAGTAGCATCTCCATCTTGAGATTTGTTGTTACCGTGTTTGGCATATCCAATACGTCACGGGGAGCTTGCCAGGCTTTGCCGTGCGGGCGAGATACTCTCAGTAGCTTGCCGGGCTCTCCAAGAGGGGCAGAGGAATCGAACTCAGGTTGGCCATGTTGGCTGCGTGCAAGGCAAACGCCCTACCCACTTGTGCTATCTCTCCAGCCCACCAAGAAAGTAAATGGCCAAAAGTTAGGTATGTGGGAGACACACCCACAACCCACCTCTGGCTCAGCTATATATAATTGGAGGCATGGCCTCTCTGGTTCCTTAACAGCCATGATCCCAGAGACTCAGAAACAAATGTCGAAACCCAACGGCTTTTGGCAGAAATGTGTCCAGTCCCTGCAGTGGGTTGCAGGCGCTGGGCCACCCCAGGTGGGAATAGGTTTCGTGCCTTGGCCTGTTCCCCCTGGCGGCCTGGTGGCCACCATCCTCCAGAGATCACTGGACAATAAGGTTTGGGCCCGCAGTGATGAGACACGCAGGGCCTCACGGGATAGGGGTGGAGCCGCCCCTTTCCTCCCCATTCCAACAGGACCCTGGGTCACCGTCCATGAACGGCCTCTCTGGCTCTTGATCAAGCTGCTTAATGACCATGATCCCAGAGACTCAGAAAAAAATCTTGAAACCCAGAGGCTTTTGGCAGAAATGCATCCAGACCCCACAGTAGATTACTGTCACCGGGCCACCCCAGGAGGGAAAGGGTGCTATCCCTCCACCTGCTCCTCCTTGGCAGCTTGGTGGCTGCCATCTGCCAGAGGCCATTGGACAGTCAGGTTTGGGCCCACAGTGATGTGACACGTGGGGCCTCACGGGATGGGGGTGGAGCCAGCCCTTTCCTCCCCATCCAAATGAGACCCCGGGTTGCCGTCCACGAATGGCCCTTCTGGCTCCTGATCAAGCTGCTTAACAGCCATGATCCCAGAGACTCAGAAACAAATCTCGGAACCCAGTGGCTTTTGGCAGAGATGCGTCCGGACCCCGCAGTAGGTTACTGTCGTCGGGCCATTCCAGGGTGGAAAGGGTGCTGTCCCTCCGCGTGGCCACCATTCTCCAGAGGCCATTAGATAGTCAGGTTTGGGCCCTCAGTGATGAGACATGTGGGGTCTCACAGGATGGGGGTGGAGCTGGTCCTTTCCTCCCCGTCCCAACGAGACTCTGAGTCGCCACCTACTAACGGCCTTTCTGACTCCTGATCAAGCTGCTTAACGGCCATGATCCCAGAGACTCAGGAACAAGTCTCGGAACCCAGCATGTTTTGGCAGAAATCCCTCCAGATTTAAGTGTTAAAAATTTCGGAATTTCAAAATTGCGCAGCCACTACTGCAGCCACGCAACATCATATGTTATTCACAACCAGCAATGGAAAACAAATTGTCTACTGTTGCCTTTTCAGCAGATCTGAGTGTTGGGGTAAAATCCCAAATAATAATGGTGGGTTTGGTGTCAAAATATTGAATGTAATCAAAGTAGAGAGAGAGTAATGTGGAAATCATCTGCCCCACAGGTAGGGGGAGGGTGTGGAATAGGGGTATACTGGGGTTTTGAGGAGTGGAGAATGGGCACTGGTGAAGGTATGGGTGTTTCATTGTATGACCGAGACTTAGACCCGAAAGCTTTGTAACTGCTCTCACGGTGATTCAATAAATAAAATTATAAAAAATGGGGAAAAAAAAGTAAGGTGGAGTTCATGCCCAATTCAATCAGCTAATCAGTGGCTGAATAAATAGCAGTGCTCCTACATAAAAAAATGTTTAATGAGACAAAAGACATGTATTTATATACTGATAATGAGAAAGTTTCAAAATACACTAAGTGAAAACCTGTTGCAAAACAGAACCTAGGTAAGCTGCATGCAGGTAAGCCCCCTACCGCTGTACTCTCTCCTATGCCACATTTCTTTATCCACTCTCTGTCTTGAGTATTTGTGATGCAGGCAGGTAGATAGGGGTTTTTGTTGTAGCTGCTATTTGTTTTTGTTTGGGGGCCACACCAACTCAAGGGTTACTCAAGGGTTACTCCTGACTCTGCACTCAGCAATCTCTCCTGATGAGGGTTCCGGGGACCATATGGGAACCTGGGTCTACCTAAGGTACTGTCGCTCTGCTCCCCATCCCCCATGCAGGTAGACAGGAAAGGACTCCCTCCTCCATGCCACTGAATTCCTGGAAAGTAATAAACCAAGGAGCCCTAATGCTGCCAGAACTGACCTTGTGGACACAGGAACTAAGGCCTGATAAGACCTTCACCTGGTGCCAGCACAGCCCCAGACAAGGCTGGACTCCCTTCCTAAAGAAGCTCCCACTGGAACCAAGACCAGGAAAGGAATATCAAAGAGCATCAACTGCTCCCACCCCCTGGGTAGCCCTGGCAATAGACTCTGACCTAGGAGAAAGCCCCAAGTGTGGTAAGACCCTACAAAAGCCAACTCAACAAAGGATGCACATAGGCTGCCAAGCAGCGTCTTACTGCCAAGCACAGGTGGTTCACGCATCTTACTCTTGAGGGGCGGACTTTCATACTTTGGTACTGGGGCTCCCTCCCCACTCTGGAGAAGCTTGCATTTTCCCTTGAGTGCATTATTCTCTCTCCCTCTCCCTTTCTCCCTCCCTCCCTCCCTTCTTCCCTCTCCCCTCACCTTCTCTCTCCTCAAAACTTGTAAACAGTACCTCTTATACTTCACTTCCAGTCTCCTGAAATTCTTTTCTTAGAGGAAAGGCCTGGGTAAGGTCTAGG